AGGACCAATTCCACTACACTCTAGTTGGTAATGGATACATGTTAAATGGATTGTTTAATCAGCTATTTCATTATTAAGGCAGAAAAGGAGTGAGTACTAATTTATTAACTTAAAACAAATAGATGTTATTATTGCTACTGGTAACATTTATATAGCACTTTGCCAATTGTTTGAAATAGTCTCTTAATAATTTATAAAGTTTTTTAATCAAAGAAATATTGCATCATAGACCCTTGGGGCTAAAAGGAACAACAAGAGGTCATTTAATCCATCTCCTTATCTTCAAAGAGAGTGGCTTATTCTATCACAGCCAGATAAGAATCATCCTCCTCCTCATGGTCATCCAAAAAATCTTTTAAAGTGTCAATCTGTAAATGGAACTATATTTGGCACTCTATAGGCCTTTAAGGACTTAACACAACAACAATGCGAAGACAAACCACACATAAACAAAATCCAAAGTACTGCATGCACAAACAGCTTAAAAATAATGGATAAGGGGGCCGGCCCCATGGCTTAGCTGTTAAGTGCGCGCGCTCCACTGCTGGCAGCCCAGGTTCGGATCCCGGGTGTGCACCGACGCACCACTTCTCTGGCCATGCTGAGGCCACGTCCCACATGCAGCAACTGGAAGGATGTGCAGCTATGACATACAACTATCTACTGTGGCTTTGGGGGGAAAAAATAAATAAATAAAATCTTAAAAAAAATAATGAATAAGGAAGATGTGAAATATATATATATCTATAATGGAATATTAGTCAGCTATGAGAAGGAAGGAAATCCTGCCATTTGCAACAACATAAATTGACCTTCAAAGTATCATGCTAAGTGAAATAAGTCAGAGAGAGAAGGGCAAATACTGTATGCTATCACTTGTATGTGGAATCGAAAAAAGCCAAACTCATAGAAACAACGAGTAGAGTGGTGGTCAGCAGGGGCTAAGGGTAGGGGAAATGGGCAGATGTTAGTCCAAGAACACACACTTCCAGTTATAAGATGAATAAGTTCGGGGATCTAATGTACAGCATGGTAATTATAGCTAATAGTACTCTATTATATACTTGAAAGTTGCTAAGAGAGTAGATCTTAAATGCTCTCACCCCAAAAAAGAAATGGTAATTATGTGATGTGATGGAGGCGTTAGCTAACCTATGGTGGTAATCATTTTGCAGTCTACAAGTATATCGAATCAACATGTTGTACACCTTAAACTTACATGATGTTATATGTCAATTATATCTCAATAAAGCTGGAAAAAAGAAAAATATTACATATAAAATGACATTTTTTCTTCCAATTTATCTACATAAACATTTTCAGCCCATGTAGATAATAGAGACAGAGATAAACATAACTACACAAGCATATGCACGTATTCAAGTATAAGATTTGGGGAAACATGACAGCTCTCAAATATTTGTAGGGCTGTTGTGTAGAAGAAAGGTTAGATTTGTTCTGTGTAGCTACTGAATAGAACTAGGACCAGGAGTGAAATAGATGGATCTATCAGGAAGGCATATGTCAGTTTATCTTTAGGAAGAACTTTTAACAATTAGAACCCTTCAAAATAAATGGGCCCCTCACTGGAGTTATTGTAGAGGGAATTCCAGGAGATTAGGTTGGATGATCTCTAAGGTTCTTTCCAACCCGTGACACTGAGCCACGTGTCAAAATTAAACACATTTGGGGGATGTAGAGGAAGGTAGTTGAATTTTATAAGCAAAGAATTGTTAACAGCTGTGGTTGTTTTAGGTCTGGACCCAATCGAGTCCAGGGAAACTATCAGGTCTCCATGGATAAGTCTGAGATTCTCTTATGAAGGAGGCAGGACCTGAGTAGAATCCTGAATACTGTAAGAGGAGTCACTTGGGAGCCATATTGGAGAGAATATGATTATTGCAAAAGTCATAGCTAAAGAAGAAAACATCCCAGAAAGAGACTAACTGGATAAAACATACATGCCTGTCATAGGAGGGGTGAGGGTTTGAGAAACAGAACATTAGGCAATTATAATCCAAGGTATCCTGAAAAATAGTCTTGAAACATTAGGTGAAAAATTTAGAATTGATGAAGGGGTGAGGGAACATGGCCAAAGCAATGAGAGGAAGAAATATTTTTGTTTTAGTGTATTGCCTGGTGCTAAAGGTGAGGAACCTAGGAAGAAAAGGCAAGTAGCAGGAGAATCCAACAGAGAGATGCCTGAGTCCAAATGAACAGTGTCCATACAGGTGTAGAAAAAGAAGTATATATGGGAGATAATGTAAGAATGTGGCAATAGGCTGGAAATGCAGACTAGTAAAGACAGGGAAGTGCTACACGCATCATTCTTGCTACTTTTTTTCACTTGGTTTCTTCCCCTGCCTGGAGCTCACAGCTGCCCTTAATTCAGTTTGAGATGGTACTACTTGAGATTGTTTTAAATGTTTAAATGTAGTTCTCGGGTAAGTCACTTTGGTTTGGTATATTGAGATAAATAGTTCCCCACACCTAATTAATTAGGATTTTCTCTACTCTATCACCACCCCCCAATTCTGAAAGTTCCCATTTCACTTTGAAAATGAAAGAATGGAAAATATCCACAAGATAATGCATGTATCCTAAGTCTCCACTTACAGGGCATTTGCTTTAGTCTATACAGGATCTTAAGAATCAATGGTAGAGAAATCTTCATATTCAAAACAAAGGTATTATGAATAGTTCACATGTGCAGGTAGCTGGTGATAACCAGGTAGGAATGACTAATAAAGTGATATATGATTCTACATGTTTTTATTGGTTGGTGTTTTTGTTTTTAGTTAGATGCAAGGTGGCAGGTGGTGGAGGGGGGCTCACCTGAATACTGTAGAATTTGTTCCATGATCTAAGTATATAACACTTGAAGAAATTAGGCTTGGAAAAGTTGATGGACTTGTGAAAACGTCATTTTTTTTTGTACTAATAGTAAGTGCGTGTATGTTACTTACTATATGCCAAATACTGTTTTAAGTGCGTTATATATAGTAACCAATTTAATTCTCACAACAGCCACAAATTGATGTGCAAAACGTTAAGTATTTGCCCAAGAGCAAATAGCTAATCAGTTTCAGAGCCCAGTTTTGAATTCAAGCAGTCTGGCTTCAAAGTCCCTGCCCTTAACCACAGCACTATACTATATTCATCTATTATATACCATGCATGAATCAGCAGAGACTGTTATCCCCAAATTAAAATTCTCTCAGATAATAAAAATCAAACAACAAACCAAATTCTGGCTCTATGATCACCTTTATCCTTTGTGAATGATTTTTTTTCAGTAGTTGCAAACGCTTCGGGAATTAAAAGAAAAAAAAGTATTTTAAGCACAGGAAAACTTTGATCCAAATGGAAAGTTCATATTCTATCCAGTGCTAAAGCACAATGTTTCTGTTCCCATTTTGGGGGCAATTTCAGTTATTTCTGGCCACACCCTGGATGGCAACGGAATAATTTCATAATGCTTTTATAGTAGTGAGTATCGATGTCAGTGGATGGTTCATCTAAAGTCAGCCTGGTTCTATGAAAGACACGCAAAGGAGAACTGTGTCCACCTTTCCCCCCTAAACCTATCCCTGTGGTTGTTTTGCTGCTTCTTGGTAATGGCTCCCATCCTCTCTTCTTTAATTTAAGGCAAATTTTCAGTATGGTACCTCCAATAACTAATACTTTTTATAAAGGAAAGAGGAAAGCCAAAGGAATAGCAGGAGGATAATTATCAAGTTCTTTGAGAATTTAAAAAACTGGATCAGGGCCGGCCCTGTGGCTTGGTGGTTAAGTGCGCTCGCTGCTATGCTGGCGGCCCGGGTTCGGATCCCGGGTGCGCATCGAGGCACCACTTCTCCGTTCATCCTGAGGCCGAGTCCCACATACAGCAACTAGAAGGATGTGCAGCTATGACACACAACTATCCACTGGGGCTTTGGGGGGAAAAAATAAAATAAATAAAATCTTTAAAAAAATAAAAAACTGGATCAATATTAAGATGCAAGAATGTGCAGTGGGGGGATAAGTGGAAATTTATACATATATATGTGTTTGCATGTATAAAAAACATTTCTCTTCTGCTTGAGTCACTCTTTAGACAATATAAGTTAAAGATGAGTAAGTTCTGACTCAGAAACAGGTTCAAAGATTTTTTTTCTCCTTTGACATCAAAAGACCTGACCACGTGCACGGTATATAAAGCCTGCCAGTAGGAAGATTAGCTTTACATACTGTCAAGCATTGTAAGGGTAACAGAAACACACATGTGGTTAGATGCTGTAGAAGTTCAAGAGGAATTCATGGTAATATAATATGAGGAATGGGGCCACAACTGCTTCTCCAATGAGACTGTAGAGTGCAGACAATCAAAGCGAATGCAATTTAACATCATGAAATAATTTCAAAAAATTACAATGAAATAATAATATACCTTTTTACCATCTTCCTGTAAATTCTGTATAATTTTAACTCTAGGCCGCTGACAAGGGTGTTTAACGGGATTCTCCTGGGCATTTTAGGGATCCTCACCTGGATGACAAGCACCAAATGCCTTGTGCTTTTCCGTCCCAACTGTGCCTGCTAATGAGCTGTGCACCTGGGGCGTTCAGGTCGACTGATTGATTTGACAGGTGGAGGTGGGACACAGAAGGCTTTAGACGGACCAACCCCAAAAGGCGGTAGCATGTGGAGCCGAACGTGGGATGGGTCGGCTAAAGCGGATCCAGACTTGGGAGGCCGAGGCGCGGCGAAGACACAGAGGCGCCGAAAGACCTGAAGCAGAGGTAGACGTGCAGATGAGGTGGGCGCTGGCGGACCCACCCTGCGAGGAGGCGGGGCGGCGCGGGCGGGGCGGAGCCGGGGGCGGGGCCGCGGGGCGCCCTCCCCCTGAGCAGCGGAGGTGACTGGTCGGGTGGGGGGCGGGCGGCGCTCTGTCCCACGCTCTCCCAGCGCTCGGTGGTTTAAAGATGGCGGCGGCGGAGGCGGCGGCGGCAGCGGCAGCGGCAGCGTTGGGGGCGCGGAGCCGCGGGAGGGGGAGGCAAGGGGAGAATCTGTGAGTCGCGGAGAGGCGGCGCGGCGGCTGCTGTGAGGAGACCGGGTGCGGAGCCTCCGGCGGCCCGGCCGCTCAGGGCCGGGGCCTGGACTGGGAAGGAGAGGCCGGAGCAGCGCCAAGAGCCGAGGCCGGAGCCGAGGAGGAATGTGACCAGGGGTCGGCGGGGGCGCGGGAGTACGCGAGCGCAGGGATGGGGCAGCAGGTGGGCCGCGTCGGGGAGGCTCCGGGGCTTCAGCAGCCGCAACCCCGCGGGATCCGGGGCAGCAGTGTAGCCAGGCCCTCCGGCCGCAGGCGGGACCTGGCGGGACGCACCACGGAGGCCGGCTTCAATATCTTTACCCAGCATGGTGAGTGTGTCCAGGAGCCGGGGTGAGGACGTGAGGGAGGCCAGGGGTGGGGTCGGGGCGGGGTGGGAAGCAGACAGGCAGCCCTAGGGGGTCGGGGGTGGAGGGGTGCCTGGGAGTGGGGGCGGAATCTGCTGCCATCTGGGCCAGTCACGGGAGACGAGTCACACCCCTCCCCCCTCCCGTCTCCAGCCTGGCTGGCAGCTCCCGGGGGCGGAGGAGGAAAGAGAAGTGGTCTTAGGGACTGTGGGTGGACTGTCCTCTACCCTGGGACGGGACTGTGCGGCTTAGGGATACTGTGGACAGTATCCCCAGAGGAGGGAAGGATGAAGGGAGGTGTGAGCCCAATCCCGGAGGGGTTTGTATAAATCGGTCATTAGCGAAGGAAACATGAGTTGTGCCTTAAGAGACTGGGAAATAGGAACTGAATCTCAGGAGATAGTGGCGTATAAAGTATATGTATAAGGCGATGAGCAGTGCCAGGATAGTGAACAGTGTCCTGAAATAACTTCTATGGGAAAGATAAGGTATCTCAGCACTTTTGATTTTTTTTTTTTTTCCAAACTGGAAATGAAGGACTTTGCCAAACCATCCTCTGTTCTGGTCTTCTGAGTAGGACACAATTCTGAGATGGCTGGCAGAGGGTAGAGGTTGGTGGGCATGGTTAGGACTTTGAGTATGAACTGACGTTTTTCTTTCTACCATATATGTGCATGCATGCATACATACCTAAATACATACATTCTCTATATAGTCTGCAGCCTGTTTGGCCTCATTATCAGGGTATTTTTAGAATGTTTTTCTCCAAACTCATTTGATCATACACTCTTATTGGTAAAAGAACATATACTCCAAGAATTTATGTCTTTATTAATTATCACTCCTACTGTACTAATGTGGTATGTAACTTATAAATGTACACAGAAATAGAATTTAAGAAAGGATGAGATGAAAAAATAAGTATAATAAGAGTTCTAGGGCCGGCCCCGTGGCTTAGCGGTTAAGTGTGTGCACTCTGCTACTGGCCACGCACTGACACACCGCTTCTCCGGCCATGCTGAGGCGGCATCCCACATACAGCAACTAGAATGATGTGCAACTATGACATACAACTATCTACTGGGGCTTTGGGGGAAAAAAAAAGGAGGAGGATTGGCAATAGATGTTAGCTCAGAGCCTGTCTTCCTCAGCAAAAAGAGGAGGATTAGCATGGATGTTAGCTCAGGGCTGATCTTCCTCACAAAAAAAAAAAAAAAAAAGAGTTCTAATATATTTTTATTTCCTGCAGCCCAATGGATCCTTTTGCAGTTTCTCTGAGCTGCACCCACACCACTTTTGAGACCACTTTTCTAGAGGAAGGAAGAGTGGAGAAGGGGGAAAAACGAGATTGACCTTCATGGGGTTGAGATGCCCTAAGACCTGAGAGAGGCTGAAAAGATAGATGGGACTTCTGTATAAAGGACTGGATATGAATAGTTGAGGTTGGATGAGAGGTGGCAAACTGGAGTTTCACTGAAGAGGCATATAGAAAATAATAAAGGATAAAAGAGACAGGGTTGTATACTGCACAGTGTAGGGAAGAGGAGTAAGAAAAAGAAGTGTGAACTATTCTTTAGAAATGGAGTTTTAGAGGGAATAATGATAGATGGTAGTGTGCAGAGAAAGAGATGAACCAAGGAACTGTGGCTGCTAGGTGAGTTGTATCAGAGAGTTCTGGGCTTGGACTTTGAATAAGCTGAGTTGTTTCTTAATGAGGAGATATAACTGATTTGGGGCCATTCAAGCGTTGCATGTCTACTATTAAAGATGTGAATGAGCTTCTCTTCCTGGTATATGAACATTTTATGAAGGCGCTATGTGAGTTGATCTTTATTGACATCACTTCCTAAAACACAGGAGGAAAGAATGAGTGAATAGTTTTCAGGGAAGAAATCATCCAAGTAGCTTTGCTTTGTAGGAAGTGTTAGTATGCATTAAACTTGGCCCATTAGGCAACGGTGATCTTTTCCTCTAGCATCTTATTCAGGACATAAGATTTTCAGAGGAGAAAGTCGTGAAGAATGGAATAGGAAGAGATTTTGAAGGATAGATAGGATTTGGATCTGTGGAGCAAGAAAAAGAGGGCAGGCTGGGCAGGAGAAACAACTTGAGCATGAACAGTGGGAATGAACATGATTTGTTGATGGGATAGTGAGGTGACATCTGTTAGGAGTGAAGCAAATCCGCCAGGAGTGAATCCTAGAGCAAAAAAGGCAAGAATCAAGTTCTGGTCCTGGCTCTGCTTGGTTGGGTGATTTAGTCACTTACTATCTTTGGACTATCTTTGGGTTTCTTTATCTTTAAAATGTTGGACTGGATTATCTCTAAGGTACCTTCTGACTCTAAGATTTTATGATTCTAATTGAGAAGCAGTGGGAAGAAAACTTTGAATGCATTGGATGGTTCTGAGTTATGGAAAATGTGGCAGAGGAATTTGTATCAGTTTACCTCATTGGCTAGTTTATAGGATACGTCAACAAACCCCAAGAATGAAATGCTGAAAGACTGGCCTTGAGTGGAGGCAGTGGAAATAGGAGGGGTAAATTCTAGGGATAGTTCATTCATTCAACAAACAAAACTATTTTGAGGGGCTGGCCTGGTGGTGCAGTGGTTAAGTGCTGGCGCTCTGCTTTGGCGGCCCGGGGTTCACCAGTTCGGATCCTGGGCGCACACTGACGCACCACTTGTCAAGCCATGCTGTGGCGGTGTCCCATATAAAGTGGAGGAAGATGAGCACGAATGTTAGCCCAGGGCCAATTTCCTCAGCGAAAAAGAGGAGGATTGGCATCGGATGTTAGCTCAGGGATGATCTTCCTCACGCACACGCACAAAAGTATTTTGAGCACCTGTTAGGTTTTGGGGATCTTGCTGTGAACATGACAAGAGTCCCTGTCCTTGTGGAACTTAAAGGACTTCATGATTCGATATAGAGGATGAAAAAAGATCACTTTGGAATGTTTATTAAAGGCGTAAACTCTGGAGCCATCCTGTCTGGGTTTGAAACCTAGCTTGGCTGCTTGTTATCTGTGTGACCTTGGGCAAGTTATTTACCCTTTTTCTGCCTTGGATTCTCCATTTGTAAAATGGGGATAATAAGAGTACCTAGTAATAATAGTACCTTGATTAAATGAGTTAATATATGCAGGGCACTTAGAATAGTGCCTGGCACATAGAAAGAACTAAATATGTGTTCGCTGCTGCCACTACTACTACTACTACTACTACTACTATTATTATTATTATTATTAAAAATAAGAATGAGTCAAAGACTGTAAGGTTTCAAAATTGGCTGAGGTGGTGATTATTCTGTTGACAAGTTTGGAAGTTAAACGCTGATGGAAAGGATGGAAATACGGTAAGTTTGTTGCCAAAGACCAGTAAGAAAAGAATGGAATTAGCAAATAATATAGGAAACAAAGATGAAGCGAGTGCTGTTTCTAGACACATGGGTGTTTATAAACTTTTCTAGATCAGAGTTTCTCAACCTTAGCAGTATTGACATTTTGGAGTGGATAATTCTTTATTGTAGGGGCCTGTCCTATGCTTTGTCAGATGTTTAGCAGTATCCCTGGCCTTTATTCACTAGATGCCGGTAGCACCCCTTTCTGGCATCCCTCTCCCCCAGTTGTGACAACCAGAAATGTTTCCAGACGTTACTCAATGTCCGCTAGGGGGCAAAATTGCCCCTAGTTGAGATCTCTGTTTAGAAACATGTAGTCGATTCTGGGCCGGCCCCGTGGCTTAGCGGTTAAGTGCGCGCGCTCCGCTGCTGGCGGCCTGGGTTCAGATCCCGGGCGCGCACCGACGCACTGCTTGTCCGGCCATGCTGAGGCCGCGTCCCACATACAGCAACTAGAAGGATGTGCAGCTATGACATGCAACTATCTACTGGGGCTTTGGGGGAAAAAAAAAAAATAAAAAAAAAAAAAAAAAGAAACGTAGTCGATTCTGAATTGAATGAATAAATGAATTAGATTCAAAAGCTCCTCAGTGGACCTATCATTTGACATTAAAAAAAAATCTGGATCCTAGAACTAGTCTACAAATCGCTGTTTTGAGTTTCAGTGTTGCGATATTAGCACATAATTTCATGTATGAAAGTTAGGTCTGACAGGCTGTTGAGTTCACATGTAGGTTTAAATGTACATCAAATATTGTAAGTAGTTAATCAGTAAAAATGTGCATATGTTATAGAAATGGTTTATCAGAATCCATGAGTTTTCTTCTGTAGAAAGAAGAAATGGTGTTTTCTCATTGAAAATGAGAATGGTATTTTTTTATCGTTAGTATGTGGGTAAATTGTTATAGTAATATGCCTTGCCAAAAGTGATTTTTGTGAATGTAATTTAGAAGGAATAAAAATAAGAGGGCTGTTTTTGGTATGAAAGGGGTGAATGCTGTGTGACTTGTCTGAACTCTGCTATTGGACCTTTTTGGTGAGCTGATGTTTTGTGACTAGTAGTCTAGGGTTGAATACTTACATGTCTTTTTAATATCTGACATACCTCACAACAGTTGAGTGATTTCAATTTTACTTCCTTCTTTCACTCATTTGCCGAAAATACTATTAAAAATTAACCTTAAATTGTGAAGTTTTGAGTAACAAAAATTTTCCCTTAAACTTATCATTTTAAGTGGTCTAATTTATCTTCTTTTAAAACATGGATCTATAGTTCATGTTTTAATCTTGGCAAAATGAAAGATGTGGGCACCCCAGGTTGAAAATGATACTGTAGAAAAGAACAGGCAGGCTTCTGCAAGGGAATTTTTTTTTCCCCCCCCAAAGCCCCAGTTGTCACAGTTGCACATCCTTCTAGTTTCTGTATGTGGGATGCGGCCTCAGCATGGCCGGAGAAGCGGTGCGTCGGTGCGAGCCCGGGATCCGAACCCGGGCCGCCAGCATCGGAGCGCACGCACTTAACCACTAAGCCACGGGGCCGGCCCCACTGCAAGGGAATTTTAAT